CGGAGCCAGAGAGGGACAGAGAGACAGAGGGACAGAGAGAGAGGACACATCCCGGGGGCAAAGAGACGAGGAAGTTGGTTTGGGTGGAGGTAGAGAGGAGGTGGGGATGACATGACTCAGAGCCCCACAATCTCCAGGACTGCTTGTATATGTTGCATAGTGGCATGCACACAGTGGAATTTTAAGTTGAAGAAGAAAAATAAAAACCAGATTATGAAATTTTACATGCAAGGGGATGTGAAATCATGTAGCCACTTTGGAAAAAAAAAAAATCTAGGAGTTCCCCTAAACTAAACGTAGTCACCACTCAGAGACTGAACATACAGATGGAGACTAATTGGAAAAGACCCTGATCCTGCGAAAGACTGAGGGCAGGAGGAGAAGGGAGCAACAGGGGATGAGATGGTTGGAGAGCATCACCAACTCAATGGACATGAGTTTGAGCAGACTCTGGGAGACGGTAAAGGGCAGAGAAAACCTGGAGTGCTACAGTCTATGGGGTTGCAAAGAGTTGGACATGACTTAGTGACTGAACAAGTATAGAAAAAAAGGCCTTGACTCACGGTCTGCAGGCACCAGTGTAGGAAGCCAACCCATTACAGTCGGCTCTCCATACCCACAAGTTCCACACCCATGGATTCAACCAACTTCGAAGAGCTTCTGTCTGAGGCTGGTTGAATCCTGGGATGCAGAATCTGCAGACATAGGAGAGCCTGCTGTATCTATAAGTCAGACTTGTAAGAAGTCAGACGTCTATCTCTATAGCAACCCAACAATAACCCCTATGACAATCAGCCCCAAATGGCCAGGACCTAATAACTGACTATTTCCCTGATTTTTGCCTCCACTTCCATCTTAGAAACAATTGTTGTTGTTCAGTCACTAAGTCGTGTCTGACTCTTCGCGACCCCATGGAGTGCAGCACACCAGGCTTCCCTGTCCTTCACCATCTCCCAGAGTTTGCTCAAACTCATGTCCATTGAGTCGGTGAGCCATCCAACCATCTCGCCTTCTGTCATCTCCTTCTCCTCCTGCCTTCAATCTTTCCCAGCATCAGGGTCTTTTCTAATGAGTCGGCTCTTCACATTAAGTGGCCAAAGTATTGGAGCTTCAGCTTCAGCATCAGCCTTTCCAATGAATATTCAGGGTTGATTTCCTTTAAGATTGACTGGTTTGATCTCCCTGCAGTCCAAGTAACAATTGGAAAAAGTCAAATATGCACCCCTCACCAATTATATTATATGCCTGCTTCTAGTTACCCACCCATAACTTCCACATGCCAATAGCCTCCCACCATGGCACACCAGAAGCCTTTTCCCTTTTTCACTATAAAGCTTTCCCACTTCTCCACCTGCCTTTTGAGTCTCTGCCAAACACAAGTGATGGTGGCTAACTCCCTTGCTGCAAGCTATGAATAAATAGCCTTTGTTCTTATTCAGGTGATCATATTTAATTCAAACCATAGAACTCAGGAATTCCACATCCAAGAGATATATCACACAAAAATATACATGAATGTTCCTAGCATTATCCATTAAAAGTCAAGAAAAAGCAATAATTCTTGGGACTTCCCTGGTGGTCCAGTGGTTAAGACTCTGTGCGTCCACTACAGGGGCGTGAATAGTGCCTTCTATATGGATATCTGAATTGCATGGTGTGTGAATTATGTCTAAATAAAACTTTTCCTATACCTTTACTTCCAAGAACTTCCTAAGGAGAAAGACATCAAAATAGCAATAGTGGCTATGTCTGCCTATCAGAGGACAAGTCGACTTTATTCTTTTTTATATGTTCTAGCCTCTATGTTCAGCCTGTAAGAATTTTATCATTAGGAAAATTCCCACCATGCAAACTGTTCTGGAAAGTAAAATAAAATGGGTGATCACAGAGCCAAAGCCAAGAGCAGGCGCTGTGGGAAGGGACCCACTTGGTGACAGCTTGAGGTTCCTGCTCCTCACCTTGGTGGTCCTAAGGATGGGGCGCCCCACCTCCTGGCTGTAGTACCCCACACCATTCACAGTCATGTTGACGGTTAAAGTCCCCGAGACAGGTTTCCCAAAGGTATACCTGGAACAAAAGGAAAAAGAGTAGTAAGTTTCACAAGCAGGTGCCCAAAGGATAGTGGGGAGGGGTCAGTCTCAGAAAGGCCCTGAGATCCTCTACACCAAGCCTCATGTTGGACAGAAAAAGAGACCGAGGGTCAGAGAGGAGCTCTGGACCCAAAGAAGCAGGGTATGTGAGACAACTGTTGAGGTGGGGCCCACGTTGGAGTAAGGCAGAACAGAGGATTGAGCAACCGTGGGCAACAGGAAGGCCTGGCTAGGCTTAAGTGCCCAAGGAGTTCAACTTTGAGCCAGGGATCTGATTTCTTTGAGCTTTGGTTTCCTCACTGGGAGAATGAGAATAAACCATCTTCTCAGGAATGCAGGTGAAAGACTTAAATGTATGTATGTCATGCCTGAGGCAGTGGAGACAATTGCTTACTGGGACNGGGGCGGGGCCGGGGCAGGGCGGGGCCGGGCCGGGCCTGGCGGGCCCACGGTAGGAAGGCCTCGCAGACCCTGGCCGCCTCTGGCTCACCTGGCTTGCACCGTGCCGGTTTCACACGTGTCCAGGTCCCGGATATAAGCGGGTGGGTCAATAAGGAGCTCAAACTTCGGCAGCACTGAAGGGAGAGAGCAGAGAGGAAGGAGGCAGGGTGGCTTCCACCACCCGGGTGGCTCCAGTAGGGTGCTGGAGGTGTGGGAGGGAAGACGGCAAACTGAACCCCAGGGCCTCACTGCTGACACCAAGGGAATCCACACTACGTCGTGTTGAGCACCGGCAGCTCTCTGAGGATTCTGTGGGCCACATCTACTTTCCATCTTTGAGGGACCAACAGGCTGTTTTTCTTAGGGGACCATATCTCATCAATTTTAGGCCATCTGCATTGAGTGTAGCCAATTCCAGCCCATCCCAGGGCTGCAGAAGTAGCCAGGCTTCTGGACCAGTTATGGGCATCCTAAGGGTGCTGTGGCTGGAGACAGTCCCTCTTTGCTGCCCTGGGCACACCCACCCATCTCATAACCTTGCACAGCCCACAGAGACACGGACACCAGGGAGCAGAACAGAGGAAACATGAAGACTCTGGTCCTAAGAGCTTCTTACATGAGCCTGTAAATCCCTTTTCTTTTGCTCACTGAGTCTGTACCAGGCTTCTGTTGCTTGCAACTTACAACCCTCTCCTCTATGGCTTTTCCTTTCAAGACCTTCTTCACGAAAGGAAGAGAAACCCCTGACCCCATAAGGGAGAATTTTAGCACAGAAGCAGAGTATGTGACTCTGATCCAGGTCCACTCCCCAGCTCTTGTTCCTTGAGCATCTTCCTTAATCACTCTCTCAGCCTCAGTCACTCCATCTGTAAAATGGAGATACCTCATAGGTTCAGGATGAGGATGAAAGAAGAAAAGGAAATGACAGGCTTAAAAAGGAAGGCCATTCTGACACATGCTGCAACATGGATGGACCTTGAGGCATTATGCTCCATGAAATAAGTCACTCACAAAAGGACAAATATTATCATTCTACTTATATGAGGTCATGTATTTTACCATGATTTATTTTGAAAGGTCATGACAGGGACTTCTCTGATGGTCCAGTGGTTAAGACTGTGCTTCAGAGGCTGGAGGTGAGGTTTCAATCCCTGGTTGGTGAACAAAGATCCCACATGCCATGTGGCGTGGCCAAAAAAAGTTATAAGGAGGACATGAGAGGGGCTTCCCTGGTGGCTCAGTGGTAAAGAATCTGCCTGCCAGTGCTGGGGACACGGGTTCGATCTCTGATCCATGAAGATCCCACATGCCGCGGAGCAGCTAAGCTCACGTGCTCCAACTACTGAGCCTGTGCTCTAGAGCCTGGGAGCCACAACTACTGAGCTCACATCCTGCAACTCCTGAAGCCCACGTGCCCTAGAGCCCATGTTTGGCAGCAAGCAAAGCCACCACAATGAGAAGCCCACGCACTGCAGCTAGAGAGTAGCCCCTGCTCATCTCAACCCGAGAAAAGCTGGCATGCAGCAACGAAGACCCAGCACCGCCACAAATAAATAACAGATAAAAAAGACACAACAAAGACCCACCCTTCCACTTCGTGCCTGGCCCTCCTGAGCCCCCAGTAAATGAGGCTCCTGCCGTCTTCTTCCTTATTATCTGTGTCGCCACGGGGACTGTGGTTCCCCCAGGTCTGAAATCTTAAGATCCTAAGATTCTCCAACTTACCATACTTCTGAACTTCAAAGGACCTGTTGTACACGTGGCCTTGCATTTCGACAAAAACAAACCATTCTCCGAGTACCGGCTGGTCAGACAAGGGGAAGGTCATGTTGGTGATGCCTGTGTGAAGAGAGACTCCCCCTCATCCTGGGGCAATTGCGTGGGCAGAGAGCCCAGCATCCGGTGGTGAGGTGCCCTGGGGACCTGGCCTCTCCCCCTCCCCGCATGGCCCCTCAGGGAAGCTCAAGGCCACCCTGAGGCTGGCAAGGGTTTGGCAGAGCCAGCACCTCCTCCATAGACTAAGTTGGGGAAACAGGGAGAGGCCGCACTTAGGGTTCCTGGGGGAGCTTGAGGCCAAAGCCAAATGCAGGCTGTGAGCCAAGTGAGCCAGGAAACAGGCCTCCCAGCTCCTCCACTCTGCTCCCCACCCGAGTCATTCCCTCGGGGACAGAGAATCACACAAGCCCTGCCCCTACTCGGCAGTCTTCCCCAGGCATCTCAGAATCAAGAAGAGGGACATGGAGAGGGGTCAAGGCCAGGCCAGGGGACCTGGAGGCATGCATGATGCTGCACCAACCACCAGGACCCACCATGTCAGCTGGAGGCCCGTACTCTGCGTTTGACTCAGAGGACTCGGGGGTCTGCCATGTTTATGCATCTCCCAGGTCGAGGGGCACAGCTGTCCACAGTCTCCCCAGATCCCTGCTACAGCTCTCCTGTCATGGGACTCCACTTTCTTTTTTTTTTTTCCACTGGAAAATAATTTTATTGAGATTCTACCAGCTGTACAATCTGTTCTATTAGGCCCCTTCTTCCTTGGCAATTCGGTCCTTCTTAAGTGGTCCCGTGAAGGTTTTCCTCTCCTCCACAGTCTGGAAGCGACCATGACCAAATTTGGAGGTGGTGTCAATAAGTGAGGTCAGTCTTCTCCAGGGCCCGCCGTGTGGTCTGCACCAGCAAAGGACTTGCGCAGAGTGAGCACTGCTTCTTGGTTCCCACCACACAGCCTTTGAGCGTGACAAAGTCATTGGTCACCTCACCGTAGTGGACAAAGCCGCCCAGAGGGTTGATGCTTTTGTCAGACAGATCGTAATCAGTAGAGGTGTTGTTCTGGATCAGTTTGCCATCCTTGATGAGGTAGCCCTGACCGATCTTGTGAATCTTCTTGTTGATCTCAGTGCGGTAATGGTAGCCTTTCTGCCCAGCCCGAGCCCAGGGAAGGCCACCCGGGCGGGATGCAACGCCCCAGTACCGGCAACCTTGCGCAGCCCTCGGTGGGTCTTACGGGGCAGCTTCTTGGTGAGCCACCAGCTGGTGACCCCTTTGTAGCCTTTGCCCTTGGTCACCCCAATGACATCAGTCATCTCATCCTGGCCAAATACTTGGTTCACAGGGACCTGCTGCTCAAGCCTCTCGCAGGCCCAGTCCAGTTTTTCAGCCACAGTGCCTCCGTTCACCTGGATCTCCATGAGGTGGGCCTTCTTCTGGCACAGAGGAAGCAGGCGCATCTGGCTGTGGGCAATGACACGGATGACCTGACAGTACTTCTTCATGCTGCTGAAGTCCCTCTCCAGTTGCTTCTTGCCATCTACGTCCTGCCACTTCTTGCAGTATTTGGTGAAGGCCTTCTTCTTAGATTTATGCCAGTTCTTGTAGAAGCGCCTTTTGCACTCGTCACTGACATGCTCAGCAAAGATGGTCTTAAAGGTCCGGAGGCCTCGGGTGTTTCCACGTAGCCCACGATGCCCACAGTCACCATGGGCGGAGTCTCCACGATGGTCACAGCCTCCACAACCTCCTTCTTGTTCACCTTGGACCCTGGCCTGTCGACCTCCCTCACAATGTGGGTCATGCCAGCCTTGTAGCCGAGGAAGGCGGTGAGGTGCACGGCTTGGAAGAGTCATCCCTGGGGAAGCGCTTCACCTTCCGGCGGTGCCGGCTGCTGCGCTTCCGAGGCAGGAAGCCCAGGGACCCGTGCCTGGGAGCGGAGAACTTCCTGTGAGACATCCTGCCGTCGGAAGCTGCCGGTAGAGCGGGACTCCACTTTCGTTAGGGCCAAAGCACAAAAGGAGATGTCAGTTACATGGCCCTCATGGTCCCATGCGTGCGTGCCTGCTTGGCACTCAATCGTGTCTGACTCTTTTGTGACCCCATGGACTGAAGCCCACCGGGCTCCTCTGACCATAGGATTTCCCCGGCAAGAATACTGGGGTGGGTTGCCATTTCCTTCTCCAGGGCTCACTGTCATAGAGAAGGAAGAAAAATGCCAGTTCCTCAGCCAAAGCAAAGCCTTCTGACTCCTAGCTGCAAAAGCAATGTCTTGTGTTGGGTGGAGGGTGAAGATGAGAGCTCTGTAGTGGGAAGAAGGTGGGGTGCCAACAAACAAGGCCCTGATATTCCAGAAAGGTCTCAATTTATGGGAGGAGCCTCAGTTGGGATCCCGGAGACAGAAAGGTGGGCAGAGGGTCCCGTGCTCCAGGAAAGGAGTGGCAGGTATCCAGGCAGAGCACATCCTATTTTCCTGGAAGCTTTATCACATCTGCCTCCCAAAGGTGTAGCCCCCAAACCACGGAAGGAATGAGAAGAGAGACTTACCACAACACAAGGGCTCCAAGTGTCTCCATTCCATCATCCGCGAGCCTCGGGGGTCCTGCAAGATGACACACACAATAAGTTCAGGACAGCCCACGTGTGCCCGGCATGCACGAGGACCTTCCAAGCCCCCTCTCTAGGACAGGACAGGCGTCAAGGCAGGCCCCAAGATTAGCTATTTATGATGAGCAAACGGAAGCTCGGGGCAGAAGAGGGCAGAAGACAAGAGGGCAGAAGACAAGAGGGCAGAAGAGGTCATCCTGACTCCCCATTTAGGGAGGTGCTTGAAAATCAACAAAGACATGGGCAGACACATACTCAGTTTACCCCAGGGGTGAGTCAGGGACAGGGCTGGACCCGGTCTCAAGCCTGTGGGGCACCGGGGCAGGCAGGAATCAACCCGGAGGCGGGGTAGTACACACAGACAGACCAGGTCTTGCAGACAGCAGACTGTCCCCAAGCCAGAGCTGCAGAGGGGCAGGACACTCACCAGGACGTAAGCTTCCAGCTGCAAATGAGACAGACAGAGGCCGTAAGCAAACCCTCCTGAAAGACCTCAGCCCTCCGTGCATGCTGAGTGTTCATCCCTTGGGACAGGCTCAGGTGCCGTAATGGCTTGAATGGTGCCCCCCCTCCTCCCCAAATTCATATGTGATGTCCTCAGCCTCAGTTCTCAGAACGTGTCTGTATTTGGAGATGGGTCTTTATGGTGGTGATTTCAAGGTCCCTAGCATAGGTCCTGGGCTCTCCTGGTGGCTCAGTGGTGAAGAATCCGCATGCCAATGCAGGAGACGTGGGTTCAATCCCTGGATGGGGGAAGGAAATAGCAACCCACTCCAGGATTCTTGCCTGGAAAATCCCACGGACAGAGGAGCCTGTCGGGCTACAGTCCATGGGGTCACAAAGGGTAGGACACAACTGAGTGACTAAACTACAAAGCATAGGTCTGATAGGACCTGTGTCATAAGAAAGGAGACTCTGGAAACAGATGGGAATGAAGGGAAGACAAAATAAAGAGGAAGAGAGAAGACGTCCAGAGACAAGCCTAGGAGGGAGGCCTGCAACAGGTTCTTCCCTCATGGTCCTTGTTCTTGTTGCACAGTCATGTCTCACTCTCTGCAGCCCCATGGACTGCAGCAACCAGGCTTCCCTGTCCTTCACCATCTCCCAGAGTTTGCTCCAATTCATGTCCGTTGGGTCAGTGATGCCATCCAACCATCTCATCCTCTGCTGCCCTCTTCTGCCTTCAATCTTTCCCAGCATCAGGGTCTTTTCCAATGAGCTGGCTCTTTGTATCAGGAGACCAAAGTATCGGAGCTTTAGCTGCAGCATCAGTCCTTCCAATGAATATTCAGGGTTGATTTCCTTTAGGATGGACTGGTTTGATCTTGCAGTCCAAGGGACTCTCCAGAGTCTTCTCCAGCACGATTGGAAAGCGTCAGTTCTGCGTTCAGCCTTCTTGACATCCAGTTATCCCATCACATGGTTCTTGGAAGGAATCAGTTCTACTCACACCCTGATCTTAGACGGCTAGCCTCCAGAACTGGGAAAGAATGCATTTCCGCCCTTGAAGTCACCCAGCAAGCTCACGCAGTTGCCAGTGGCAATGAGGGTGGCTGGGCCCCATTTCGTGGTCTCCGTGTTCCTTGCTCCTGATCACAGCCCTGCCGCCCCTCGCAGACTCCTCCTCCACACCCCAAGGAGGACGACTCCTCCAAGCAGCCCTCGCAGGTGGCAACTGGCTTGTTTCCAGTGACTCATGCCAGGTTCCTTGAAGGCCTGGGAGGCACGCTTTTTCTCTCTGACCCTCCAGCACCAGCCTGGAGCCTGGCTTCCAGCTGGTGCCCATCAGTGCCAAACTGAACAGTCCACACTGACTCCAGGGAAGGACAACTGCTTGCACACCTGTGCCTCCTGAACCCGATGACATATTCTGCCGGGTTCCATGTGTGGCTGACCCTGTGCATGTGGATTCAGCCCCGTCAGCTCAGGGGTGTCCATACTGAATCCAGAGGCATCGGGAAACTTTGCAGTTTGAATTCAATGTTCTGTGATTTATCCTTCTTGGACTTCACCCATTTCAGGCCCTCAACCAGCCTCCAGCGGAACACAGGCAGCTGCCTGAAACACTGGCCTCCGCAGGGACCTTTGGAGGAAGCACTTCCACTAATGCCCTTGCCTCTCCCTGTCACACAGACCTCCCTCCTGGCTCCCCCAGCAGATATGGAGCCCCAGGAAGAAACCAAGAATGCAGGTAGAAATTGGAAAAGGCAGGAGGAAAGGCAAGTTGTGGATGATGGCCCTGGCCAGGCTGGACCCTGGTGGGTGAGTTCCGGGCACACAGTTTTAGAAGCCTATCTCACCTTTTCGCTGGTGGGCCTCAGGTCTGGGGTGACGGTGAAGATGCTGATGAGCACTGGAAGAAAGAAGAGAAGTGTGTGGCAGTTCCCATCCACGGCCAGCCCTCCCACCCCAGCCCGCGCTGGCCGCCCACCTCGGTGCTTGGGTCTGTACACTGGCTTGTCGGTCTGAATGAATACGGAGGCTCCCCGGCTGTCCACGGTCACTGAAGTTTGGTTGTGGAAGAGGGGGCCCTCCTCCACCCGCCAGTCACGGCCCCACACCTTCAGGAGGGCCTGGCCCCGGAGGCCCGTGGGCACCTGCAGGCAGAGCATGGAGCTTTGGGCAGGGAGTGTCGCCCTGGAAGGGATCCAGGTATTGAGAAAGCAGCGTGGAAGTCTAAGTCAGGGGTGACTCTGAGTCACCCGGGGTGACTGTTCCCCCCAAGGAACAAGTGACAGTTTCTGGAGATATTTTTGGATGTCATAGTTGCAGGGAGCGGGTGCTACTGGAGTCTGGTGGGTGAAGGTCAGGGATGCTGTTCAAGATCCAGAGATGCAGAAGACGGCCCCACAGCAAGGAATGATCAGGTCCCAAATGTCAGCAGTGCCAAGACTGAGAAATGCTGGTCTACCTTGACATGACAGACCTTCTCTCCTGGCACTGCAAGCTTGCAAAAATATTCTTAGCCCTGTAGAACTCCAAGGGCTAATGTAGAACATCTTACCCAAGTACGGCCCTTGCTGGTGAGTTGGGAAGAGGTGGCGATGGAGACCCCAGCCCCTTCATATACATGTATACTGACTCTTTGCGACCCCATGGACTGTAACCTGCCAGGCTCCTAGAAATAGGCTGCCGTTTCCTTCTCCAGGGGATCTTCCTGACCTAGGGATCAAATCCATGTCACCTGCATTGGCAGGCAGATTCTTTACCACTGAGCCACCAGGGAAGCTTCATGTGTATAAATACGTGGTACATGCACATATATTTTTATGTGTCATATATATAAATATATATGATGTATGGCCTCTTTGTCTCACTGTAAGCACTGCACACACATTATCCAATCCCATGTATATGAAATGTCCAGGACAGGCTAATCCATAGAGACAGAAAGCAGATCCGTGGGTACCAGGGGCTGGAGGCAGCTGGGAAGTGGTGACAGCTAATGGGGATGGGGTTTCCTTTTAGGGTGACAAAATAGTTCCCTACTCTGGAAGTAGATAGGGGTGGGGCTCGCACAACACTGTGCTGTGCTAAATGCCACTGAACTGTCCACGTTAAGATGGTTAAAGTGGGGGGTAATTCCTGGATGGTCCGGGGGTTAGAACTTGGTGCTGTCACTGCCAAGGGCCAGGGTTCAATCTCTGGTCCAGAAACTAAGATCCCACAAGTCTCACAGCATGCCCAAAAATAAACTTTTAAAAATAATAACTAGTTAAAGTGGTTTAAAAAATTCTTTTTTTGCCACCTGGACAGATAAAACAATAATAACAAAGCCCCACTGCAGTCTTAAGGATTTGCCCAGGAGTTCACACTTTTCTTGGGCAAAATATCCAACGTTCTAGGGATGGAAGCCGCCCTATATGATGCTTTTTTTTTAAGCGATGAGCAGAACACCCATGCATGTAACCTATAGAAGCTCCTTTTGTGATTAAAGCAAACAAAAGTCACAGCTCCCCGGGTGTGACCAAGCATCTTGTCTGTGATTTTATGACCATCCCTGGGTGCCCGCTGGGTGGACAGTCAGCGGTCAGCAGTCCACACTGTGAGCCATATGAACCACCAGTTCCTAAGACCGTCCAAACGTGGGGTGTTCCTTCTGCGGTTGTCAGCAGCCCCCTGTGTGGTCCCTCAAAGGGTGAAAAGGCCCTTGTCACCATTGCTGGGAACCCCCCGGGTACTGCTGAATTATCGGACCATCCTCAAGCCAGTGTGCCCATCTGGTGGATGCGGGCGGGGTGTGGCAGGGCCTTCTGCGTTCCTCCAGAGCCTTTCTCAGGCTGCTCCTCTTGTCTGCTGCGAACATCATCTGAGAGACCCTCCCAGCCCGTCCACCTGCCACCCTCAGGAGGGCGCACCTCAGGACTGTGG